AGCTCACTCCCTGATTTCATGCTCTGAAACGTAACAGCACTTTGAACTAAAAATACGGATGTGAAGGTCGATACCATGGGCCTATTCAAAGTGTTAGGGCAGAGCAAAAATCCTACACTAAGGACTGAGTGTGCCAGCAATGACCCTGTCGCATCGAGGCAGTAGAATCTAATGAAAGTACGTGAAGATGCTCAACTGGCAGCCACAAAGATGTCCCCCATAGATGTGTCCATAAAAAAGGCCACCCCGATAGAAAAAAAAGCAGTTCAAGAGCTGAGCAGTTGTTTGGCTCTTCTGTCCCATTTTAGGGGTGTAACATAGATATTGTTAAATCTGCAGTGCCAAAGCWGCATGGCAGTGGTCAACCAGGGCTGTCTGAGTGTGATTCACTCACATACATGCAACACAGAGGGGATGGGGATCCTTCCCAGACATGGTGAGTCTGCAGGAGGCTGGGCATGGACTGGACACACATCCTTATCAATGCTACCATCTGCTTTTCTGAGAGGAACTAGTWCTGGCCYTTTAGCTAGCACACAGTCTTGACAGCTAGTGGCAGCAGAAACACCAGYAGAAGGATTAAAAGTTAAAYRGACCCTAACAGCGGTCCGGGCCGTTGAGAAGCTGTTGGGCACCACTGGAAGGTTTCTGCCGGGCTGGGAGCACACAGACTTAGTTGCTGGGGGAGATAAATGGCAAACTGGATGTGATTCTGACAAGAATAGCAGCACAGGAGCGAGCCTCTGGCATGTAGGATTATATCTGGGTGAAGCTTCAGACGGTGAAGAGGCGAGGAGACCCCGAAGTCGGCTGATTGGAATTTTTTTCTCCACTTGAGAGATGCAGTAGACATTAAAAGCAGCAGGAAATTCAAGGCTGTTTTGTCCCAAAACAATTATGTTCATCTGTTGCCTCCCAGCGGCTTGGCCTTGATTGGCCATGCTAAGCTAAAACTCCCCAACGATGATATGTCAACAAGGGCTTGATTCCCTCCCGCCAACATCACCCATGTTGGACCTGGCCTGTGAACCCAAGGCTGAGGAGGAGTAGACTCTGAACTCTGGTGAGCTGAGCCGATAACATCATGTGACTCTGGACTCTGGAGGGGCTATGGTCGGGTCCTAGTACAGAGACCTACTCTCAATGTCACAGACTCCACTGATCCCCGCCCCATCTCATGTGTTATCTGACCTAAGTTGCCTCCCTGCCCCAGGCTGTCTTGCCCTATTGCGAGTCATATGTTTCTGATGTAAACATAGGATCAGAGCAATTTTTTAAACTCATCTTTCCTATTACTTATTTCCAGCTGTTAGGTAGCGCGACCCGGTTGCTGCATGACCTGTTCACCTGTTCCCCCATGTTTTGTTATGTGTGTTTTTCTTGAATGTGTGTTCTTAAACGTAATTTCATTGTGCTCTGTACAATGGCAATAAAGTCATCATCAAAAGGGAGATCCGACACAATGCAAAAATCACACCACTTTGTTTCCTAAAACAAAATCGTGACAACAAGCTCATAGCCAGCAAAAAAAGCCTGTTTAGGAGTAACCTTGATGGCCGAGTCAACAAACAATTGAATTCCTTGCTGAGGAGTTATTTTAATTTTCACATCCCCTACTACACCAAGAATACCTGATGGAGGGCAGGGGGGCTTTTGAAGGAGGGCGGCACCCCCATGCCAAGCATGTGATTGGTTTGTCAATGACACACTAGAGGAGCTATCATTGMTCACACCTGAAGTCGCTTCCCATASTAAGATACTGAWAGATGTTTGAAAGGAAATTTACGATTTGTCATTGATGACGGTGTTGATTGCATCTCTGAGGTCTTCGGCTGTCATGAAGTTTAAGCTCACAACAGCTGCAGCTCCTTTGGCTTTAATATGTGCCATGTTGTCTGGCTGGTCAGCAAA